TCCTCTGTAATCCATCATTGAATTCCTCTGGAATCCATCATTGAATTCCTCTGGAATCCATCATTTGATTCCTCTGGAATCCATCATTGGATTCCTCTGAAATCCTGAAATCCATTGGATTCCTCTGGAATTCATCATATGATTACTCTGGAATCCATCATTGGATTCCTCTAGAATCCATGATTAGTTTCATCTGGAATCTATCATTGGATTCCTCTGGAGTCCATCCTTGGATTCCTCTGGAATCCATCCTTGGATTCCTCTGGAATCCATCATTGGATTCCTCTGGAATCCATAATTGTATTCCTCTGGAATCCATCATAGGATTCCTCTGGAATCTATCATTGGATTCCTCTGGAATCCATCATAGGATTCCTCTGGAATCCATCATAGGATTCCTCTGGAATCCATCATAGGATTCCTCTGGAATCCATCATAGGATTCCTCTGGAATCCATCATAGGATTCCTCTGGAATCCATCATAGGATTCCTCTGGAATCCATCATTAGATTCTTCTGGAATCCATCATTGGATTCCTCTGGAATCCATCTTTAGATTCTTCTGGAATCCATCATTGGATTCCTCTTGAATCCATCCTAGGATTCCTCTGGAATCCATCATAGGATTCCTCTGGAATCCATCATTAGATTCTTCTGGAATTCATCATTGGATTCCTCTGGAAATCATCATTGGATTCCTCTGGAATCCATCATTGGATTCCTCTGAAATCCTGAAATCCATTGGATTCCTCTGGAATTCATCATATGATTACTCTGGAATCCATCATTGGATTCCTCTAGAATCCATCATTGGATTCCTCTGGAATCCATCATTGGATTCCTCTGGGATCCATCATTGGATTCCTCTGGAATCCATCGTTGGATTCCTCTGGAATCCATCACTGGATTCGTATGGAATCCATCATTGGAGTCGTTTGAAACCCATCATTGGATACCTCTGAAAGCCATCATTGAATTCCTCTGTAATCCATCATTGAATTCCTCTGGAATCCATCATTGAATTCCTCTGGAATCCATCATTGGATTCCTATGGTATCCATAATTGGATTCCTCCGGAGGCCATCATTGGATTCCTCCGAAGGCCATCATTGGATTCCTCTGAAATCCATCATAGGATTCCTCTGGAGTCCATCATTGGATTCCTCTGGAATCCATCATAGGATTCCTCTGGAATTCATCATATGATTACCCTGGAATCCATCATATGATGCTCTTGAATCCATCATTGGATTCCTCTGGAATCCATCATTGGATTCCTCTGGAATCCATAATTGGATTCCTCTGGAATCCATCGTTGGATTCCCTAATAAAAAATAACCATAAACGAAGATAACCCAAATCATTGAACTATTCCACAAATGGTTTGGATGATACCCAGAACGCGTCGTTAAGCAAATTAACCATACAATTTTTATTAGGGTTCCTCTGGAATCCATCACTGGATTCGTATGGAATCCATCATTGGAGTCGTTTGAAACCCATCATTGGATACCTCTGAAAGCCATCATTTGATCCATCAGGAATTCCACTTGAATCATGCACCAGATTTGTGCATCGGAATCGGCCTGAATCCTAACCTAGATTCCATTAGAATATTTTCGGCACCTATGGGGTGTCCGGATAATTATTTTTACGTTCAATATTTGTGCCCATAATTTCCAGCATACCCTTTAATTCTGAACTAATTCGGAAAAGATCAATTTTTTCGCTATCATTATTAAAATTTTCATACAACTTAAAATAAAGGATGATACTTACTCAGCCACTCGGAAGGCGAGTGTGAAATTATGACGTCGTTGTTTCGGTGTTAATTTGGTAAAATCAAAAGCGTCTGGAAGGAAATGATGAATCAGCGCACAAAATGCCATTCCATCTGACCAGCATGTGGAGAAGTTGTCTATTTTAACGTTCTGTTCGTTGTTGTTTTCGGGGAAGAAGAAAAAATTACAATTATTCATTGAATGACAGCTGAAAGGTAAACAACATATTTGTCCATCGAAAAAACCACAACCAAAGTGTTTATTTGAACATTGTTTCTACAACCTGAAAGCAATAGAGTTTTGTCCGTGAAGCATTGAGGTTAGGGCGTTGAGCAGAGAAAGAATGAGAAGACCACATCCTAGCAGGAGGTAAATATTTACATTAGTAGGAAAAAGTTTAGGGCAGCATGCAAACAGTGAATTAATTCGGCAGGAAAAGATATTTGGTTTTTGGAACGTCCATATCCGGTCTGTGGCGGCGACGGCAGGTGACGTGTTTGGCAGCCAAAAAAGGTCATAACATCGAAAGTACACTGTACAACAGAAATGTGTTTTTATTTGGGTTTACATCTATTGTTTGTTTTTGGTTTGTTTGAGGTTAGAGGGAAAAATAGTCCGGAAGCTGCGGATTCAGTCCCAGATGTATCCGCCTTCCTTTTGTGTGATTTGGTTTTGTACAAAAAAGAAAGAAAGAAAGAAGCGCATCTGTCAACAACAAGTGGCACTTTACATTTTCGGTAGAATTTTTGCTTGTGATTCTGGTGTCATTTAACGGAAAATGTAAACGAAAACTTGAAAGCGGAAAAAAAGGTGAAAACAGGAGAAGAAAGGCAATGCAAATTGCAATGAAGTAGGCTTTGCTTTGGCGTTTGACAGTGTTGTGTGTTTGCGGCAATTGTTTTTGCTTTGATTTGTTTTCAAGATGGTACCTCGTATCCCCTTGTCTTCATCTGGCACCACTGCAGCAGTTGGTCCTTGACAGTGGCTGCGCGGCGGTTCAGTGACGGATCAGTGAACTGAAATATGGGCCCGGCGGTGGCACCCGGTGTCGATGGGGTTGACGGTGTTCGGGGGGAACTGTGGTTGGTTGGTTGGTTGGTTGGCCCGGCACGCACGGCGAAACACGGGGAGTTGATTTGTGAGAGTTATTTATTTTTATTGCGAACATTCGAGTTTTTGGTTTTTTGATTTGCATCATTGCACGGGAGATCAGATATGTAAACATACAAAGAATATGCGGAAGAGAAAAGAGAGAGAGAGAGAGAAGAAAGGGACAATAGAGAGACAATGGATTTTGACATTTTTTTGGTTTGATTTGACAGGGGGTGAGGGGTTTCCGTCTTTTGCCTTTCGTTCGTTCAAGGAAGATGGCAGCACTGGTCGACGTGGTTGACGTTGGTTGATTTTAGAGAGTTTTAGTGGGTCCATCGGTTTTCTCAAAAGGGGAAGTCTATTCGTTAGAACTGACAGCTGTCATATTAGGGCGACTATGATTCGTTTGTTAGTTACTGTATATGTTACTGTTTGTTTACCAAATGAATGAGTTCCGTTTTAGATATGATTCTACTGAGTATATACTTTCGAACTAATAGGCGACTAGACAATTTCGACTCATTAGTAATGTACTGATTGATGGCAACTGGGATTAAAGGCGATACTGATAATGTTCGAGCTACTGATGGAAGCATTTTTCATTTGTAATGAGTTGGAAGCGGCGATTTTTTCCCGCCAGATACTTACTTAGGGGGTGATTGTGATGTGATGGAATTTTGTTTGTCAAGCTGTCGGAATTTAGCCATCGCTGACATGGGTTTCGCTGGGCCAACCGTTTTGGTTGTCACTGTAATCGAATAAGTAGTTTGACATTAACTAGTCTGTTTTTCAGCACTTGAATGCAATATAAATTACCTGTCGTTCGGGTGGTGAGCACGCCGCCATCTTGAGACTGGACCTTCGAAGATGATGTGGTGGTTACTTCTGAAAGTGCACAAACAATAGAAAAGAGAAAGAGACGGACACGGTACGCGATTAGTGTTCAGTTGCTTCAGCATGTTTCAGCAGGAGATCTATTTGGAAAACAAGGATTTTGTGGTGGTTAATAAGTACAACTAATAGGAGCTCAAGCTACACAAATTCTAATACTACTATTGTTTTTGTTTTTGTTTCAAACGACATAAACTATGAAATATATATAGAAAAACACAACATCGTGAAATGAGCGGGCGGAATTTTGCTACTATTAATGGAGGCCAATACGGTGGCTGCTGGTCGCATTCTGTGATGATACACTTGCTATTAGTTCAGATGAGGCTGCATGACAGAACAAAGAAAACAAACACACGTGTTTTACCAGAATACAAAAAGAAAAACCTGGGACATGTTTTCGAAAAAGTCACACTAGATGGCAGTGGTGGTGATGGTGTCCGGAAAGGCAGAGCTGTCAAAATTCTGCCATCTAGACGCAAAAGCATGCACTAAAATAAAAGGGCGCACGCGAAGCGTTTGACGTTTACACGCATGCTGACATTTATGCTGGGGCACGGCACACTTTGACAGCCAAAAAAAAAACGTCAAACAACACTGAGAAACAAAAAGTTGCATTTCAGACTCACAGGGCTTGCTACCGATTCGTACAGTAGGGTATTTTGCCTCTATACTGACATTCATATTTCGGGCCGAGAGTGCGGCTGGACTTGTCCCTCATTGGACCTTCGTTGGGTTGTTTCTCTGTGTGTGTGTGCGCACTGTTGTTAGGCTGCACATCTACACAGGAAGACGCTCGCACGACCAGTTTGCTTTGTTTGCCATAGTAATAGTAGTAGTAGTAGAATCATCCGACTATTCGATTGCTCCGCGGCGCACTCTGTTGGTGAGGCTTAAGCTCTTTGCGATAGGGTTTTTTTCTCTGTCTTATTGCCCGAAAAAGTTTTTCGATTTGTTTTGGTTTTAGTGACAGCGGTGAATCATGTATATATAGAGGCAGTTCTTCACAAAAACAAAGTTCATGTCCCCGTAAAAACAAAGTCCGGTTTTCTCTTTCCAAACACGAGTTACACGAGTAAGCGTTTGACATTTACATCAAATCCAAGCGTTCCACAGAGTATTTAAAAAAAGTAGTAGTAATAGAATGCAGTAAACTTCTTAGCAAAACAACTGCATGCAATATTTATTTATTTTTCTTGTAGTGTTGGCAATGTCTTCGGTTTTTTTGGTTACACCATTTCGTCGCACAAACACACGCGCGCGCACGCTCGAGACTCTTTTTCACTAAATACAACTACATCGATACACAGCCTACGGTTATTTCCTAGGGATTATTCTGGACTAGAATAGGTGCTTTGCGCGCAGTTCGCACACAGTCTGCTTCCGATGTCAAAATACGGTATACAAATACAGAAATCCACAAAACACAATCTGGAATGACGGTTTCAACTTCCATCGACCGACTCACTCGGTCGGAAGTCTACTCAGGGTTGAACTCTGCTCCACTGTGAGCGTAGCCTACAATAGTCTCCGCACCCTACACGGCGAACGATTGGCTCATGAGCTCCTCAAATGCATCCTCTACGTTCTCTTCGTCCAGAAGACTCACGTTGTTCATCGGTATGTGTGGCATCGTTCGACTGCGCGACAGCCCACCACCTAGCGGAGGTTGATAGTACTGTGTTTGTGGTTGCTGCGTCATCATTGGCTGCGTTCGTTGCGCATACATCGAGGATTGCGGCTGATAGCTGCTACCGTATTGCTGAGGTGTCATAATGTTATACTGCGCCGGATTGTAGCTGTGCCCCAGAGCATACGATACGGGTCGTACGCTATTCTGCGTCATACCAGATTTGTCCCGCAGGATATTGTGCGTCGAAGAAGTCTTCGACAAGGCATTCAGCGTAGGTTTCTGACCGGCGAAGTACGCTTCCATGGTGCGCTGCTTATCGGTGACTGTGCGATTTGGTTGACCGTGACCCCCGTCGAAGCTCTGCGGAACGGCTAGGGTATGACTAGACTTGGTCCGTGACAGCGCACTTGGAGCCGGTTGCTGATTCAACCGCACCCAGGAATCTGTCCGGGAGAGTGGAGCCGCCTGGTATGCCGGGCGACTCTGTGCAAAACCTTGAACATTGTTATAGATGACATGCGATGGTAAACCGTACGGAGAAGCTTGCTGCTGTGGAGCTGCAGCAGGAGTTTGCGGAGTAACTTCCACCTTCGGCACGGAAAATTGCGGTGCAGATCGTTGCGCATAGCTCGACAATCTATCTAACGAACCGCTGAAATCATGCGAGAAACGCTTTTGCGCTGCAGCCGCAGCTGCTATTGCTAGCTTGTTCGGTGGTGTTGGACTCTTGTGCTGAATCTTCTTCAACGAGCTTTGAAGACTCTGAGCGATCATCGAACTGCGATCATCACCACTTCCACTGTTCAGATGCGATGGTTTGTTGCTCGAAAAGCTGGCTTGTTGGCTGACCGGTGCTCTCATAACCTTCGACACAGCCCGCATCTCCTGCGAGTCCAGTGAATCCAGATCATCCGCTTCGTCGTCGACGATGTTCGGTGACAGAGAAGAGGAGTTCCGCCGATCTCCTGTACCGAGATAGTTCATTTGCTGTCCCGCCGGACTGTAGATCGAATTCGTGCTGGTCAACACTAGTGGTTCATTCTCCGGATTGGTCAACGAATCGCTACGGTTTAACGTAAACGTAGAAACCGACTCTGGTTGAGTGTAATCCGTAAAGGTGTACAGGAAGTTGTCCGCCGGTTTTGGGAGTGCTTTATTCACATCCGGTAGCGAAGGACGCTTCTCCAGTAGGCGTTCGGGCATTTGCAGGCTCAGCGGTTTTTCGTTGTACTTGAGAGAGCCCTGATAGGTCAGAGGAGTCTGTGCCGGAAGATTTCCCTTGTTCATCCCGAACTGGTTTGCTGTGAACTTGGTCGAAGCGATACTTGCTACACGGTTGTTGCCTTCCGTAGTATTTTTGCCAACCCACGGAGCGGGGGGAGTCGTCGGAGATTCGGCTCGCTCCGGTTTGTGCGCTTGGTAGTTGAGGACGTGATGCGTTGGGGTTCGCTCGAGCTTGGGAAGTGGGACATAGGGAGTCTCGTGGTAGCCAGCGGCTGCAAGGGACTTGACAAGTCCGAGCTGGACCTGCTTGGGTTCGGGTTTTTCCTCAGGGGTTTCCTTGAATCCGGATGCTACAATTTGCTTCACGATACCACATGATATGTGAGCTGGGATGGGTTTGATGATTTCGGGTTCTTGGGCTTGCATTGATTTGAAGCCAAGATTGGCCGCTGGGAGCTTTTTCGGGATGGGTTTAAATGCAGAGCTTGCAGCGTGGGTGAACTGATTGGAGGTGGTAGGAGGGTGCTTGGGTTCTGGTTTGCTCACAACAACTGGTTTAGGAAGTGGTTGCGGAGTCATTTTTGGTTTAGCTGGAAGAGCTGGGGGTTGTTGTTGTTGTTGCATCGATCGAGGTGGAAGTTTGGGTTGGGTAGGGGGTTTGGGAGCTGCATGGTGGTTTTGGACAGGCTTTGGAGGCTTTGGATGCCGCAGGTGCGACTCGTCAAAGGAAGTGCTCTCGGCTTTCTTCCAGAAATTCATCGCTGAACTCTTGGGAGCGCTACGCATCGGAGGTGGTTGATTGCCCTGCCGACCGGCAGATTCGAAATTGTTCTTCAGATGATCGAACTTGCTGGTCCAATTGTTGGATCCAACGTGCTCCTTGACCGGATTGGTCCACATCTGCTTCGGGGTTTGGTTCTGCTTCTGCAGGAAGGCCATAAACTTGATGTCGTTTTCGGTTTTCGGTTTAAAGTCTGGCACATCGGCCGCCACTGGTTTTCCGACACTGGCCACCGAAGTCTTGGCTTTTACTTCACGTGACCGTTCCCTTGGTTTCGGTTGCTGATCGTCCTCTGAATCATCGTCGCTATCCGCGGCGTTGCTCAGCAACTTCTTAGGGATATCAATCGTATTGGCCCGCTTCATGCGCAGCTTTTTGCTAGTGTATTTGTTGATGGGTTTGTTGTTGCCTTCTCCACCGGAGACGGGAGCATCGTGAGATTCCGGGGTGCGGCTTCGGTTGATGGCGGCTTTGCGAGCGACGCTTGGATGAACGGATTTTGCTGGTGGATCTTGTTTCACTTCGCGGTTGACAATCTTATGAACGGTATTGATAACGGCCGAACCTTTTGCTGTGTTCTTCTGTAGAACGACTTGCTCGGCGGTTTTGCGAGGTTCGTCATCTTCCGAAGTGGAGCCATCGTTGAAGGAGTATTTCTTTACCAATGCTCGCTGGGCAGCGGTCTGGACGGGTTTTTTGAAGGCTTCATTTTTGTCAACGGGTAAGGATTTGACGTCGATGGGTTTGAGCTGCGTGGCGGAAGGTTCGTAGCCGTTGATCGAGGATTGATCGAAACTCTGCGATTGTCGGAAGAGCTTTTGTTTAACCTTGCGATCGCGTCCGTTGACAATGAGCTCGGGTTTGTGGTTGAGTTCTTTGGGCATAAATTGACTCGGGCGTTTCATGGCGAAGGTGGACACCGAAGGTACGGGAACCTCAGAAGGAAGAACCGTGCCTAGAGATTGCTGTTTCTGAAGAGAATAGGGGAGTTGGGGTTTTTCCGGAGTGGCGGAGTGCGAGTGTGAAGACATGCGGCCTATTTCCTCGATGAAACGCCGGGCATCGGCCAGTTCTTCACGGCTGACTCCAACCGTATGGCGGTTGTTGCGGTTTCGTCGTTTGGCGAACCGTGCGCTGCCTCGTCGGGCTTGGTTATAGTCCACCTTGTCGTCCTCGATGTTGTCGTTGGTGAGCTCGTTGACGGGAGATACCTGTTCCGGGAGTTCATCGGGTTGCATTAGACCCGTCTGCAGCCGACAGACAAGAGTGAGCAGAGCGTTACGTTTGTTCGTAGCCAGGTTGATGTCTTTCCCATCCCTAAGTGAAAGTTGTAACCGTTGAAGGGCAGCCGTCACCTCATGCAAGATACTATCGCCGGAGTCTACCGGCAATCTAACATTACTAACACTACTACCATCACCAATGACGCCGCCGTTGAGGGCAACGTTTCCGACACCAATACCGCGGTACATTTCGATGTTGTCATGCAAACCGGCCGCTAGGAGCCGGAGGTCTTCGCCGGACTCGGTGCCGGAATCTTCGACCGGTGGGATCGGAAGCGAGACGGCCGCGGAGGTTCTACCGCCACCGCCGCCGCCGGCGCTAGCAGTTCCGACCTGGCCCCCAGCACCGCTCTTATTGTGCAACAGTATGCCCTGCAGTAGGGGCAACAAGAGCGACTCACCGTGGATGCCGCTGGCGCTGGAGTCGGTGCTCTGTTGTTGCTGGAGTTGCCTTTCGCGTTGCAGGTCGGCCGTTACGCTGGCCACGATGTCGGCACAGGCTGGAATAGAATCGGATCGATTGGTCGGGGGAACAAGAGTAATTAGGGGGGCGGGTGGGCGCTTCTCGAGGAGCGTTGTAGCTGTTGTTGCCTGGCGACCGTTACCTTGCTTGTTCTTGCTTGAACGCGGTCTTACCGAGAGGCGGGGCTTACTGTGGCGGGAATGTGGACGTAGGCGTGTCTGTTTATTGTGAGGATTGGGGCGTTTGATTCGGAAGTTGATTTTTGGCATTTGGGTTGTGAAAGAAGTATAGCAGAGTAGAGTAGAGTGCAGAGGTGTTGTTGATGGCGTTCAAGTGTCGTTCTGAGATTTGAGGAGAGAAACTGTTGCTGTAGGTGTGGTGGTAGTTTCTGTCCAAGGTGTGGGTTGTAGTTTGACAAAGAGCAAGATAAAAGTAACGAGAAACGCAGGCCTTCGAACGGAAATATTTTGGAGTGCGTTTAGTGAGTTTCTTTAAGGCTTTCTGGAGGAATTCTAGTGAATAGCGGTACCTTCTTTTTCGGCCATGATCTGTCGTAGACGGGCACGGATCTTGCGACGCTCCTCGTAGTTAGTGGTTGAATCCAACTGGAAAAAAAATGAAGAAATGAGTAGATAAGTCAACGAACTGAATTGGTCACGCTAGTCGGACTCACCAATTGCTTTAGTACGGCTTCGTCCCAGATCTGTTCTAGGTTCTCGATGCTTGGCTTCGGGGCGTTGTTCGACGAAGAGGAGGCTGTCGATTTAACGGTGCGGGTTGTGGTTACTTTGGAGACCTGCAGACGAAAAGAAGACCAAATATTATAGTTTAATCATAACGGATCGAAAATTGGCGGCTGAATTTGGCTGATGAATGCAAGAAATGCACTGCGCTGAAGGAACGCATTGCTCAGCCGCAGTGCATGGCCGGTGGCTATTTTTGGGAAGGCAAACGCGCGCGGACGGAACAAAAAGCGAAATTTTTTCTCCTCTTCGACTCGAGAAGAGGATCTATTTTCGGAGGCAAAAAAGTTCACCCGACGGTTTGGCTACTTCCCGCGCGCACGGTTAGCTGAGTAATCGCCGCCGTCGTTGCTTGGTCGGATAACTGTCGCAACGCTTTGGGACCGACACCGGCGAAGTGTCATGCGTTGGGTTGGGTTGCAAGAAGAGTTTCCCAATTGTCGTCGTGCTGTGAAATTGAGCGCGTTCAAAGATCAGCTGATTCGAGTCTACTACGACTACACCACCGCCACTGCGACGCGAGCGTTGAGCTAGATGGTATAGGAGTTCGGCTAGAATCGTCTTCTTCGTTGCTTTCAAGGTCGTCATTCGCTATGTGTGTAGCAGTCGTCGCCTACTTTGTAGTGGCCGTAGTGGCTAATCGCTTTCGATTTTCCGACTTCCTATGCTAATATGATTGATTGACTACCACCATCCTTGGAGGGGTTCGTTTACTCCGGGTGCCCCATGGCCTGGTTGGACACCCATTGAAACGCCTACCAAGTTCAAAAGTCTCATTTATTATCCCTGATAAGTTGTAAATAGATTACTCATTTAGAACTGCGCGCCGGCTATTTCGGTCCAATCCGTATTAAGACAATATTTTTATACGAACCGCAATTTGCGGGCAGATGACGCCGCCAGACATTGCGGAAACAATTTTCGCATTTTTTTTTCTGAGCCAAAACAAGAACGGGTGTTCTACGTTGTTGTTTACGTTTGCGTTTTCGCTGTCGCGTAGTTCTGTTTCCCGAAGAATACCACAAAAGGATGGGCGTGGTGGCCTTGTTTTGGTTCTGTGCCAAGACGCGAATTCGCGGTATACTTTGTACTACCTCCACAGCTAGATGAAAGAAGGCGATGACGATGTGCTTATTTGCATCGAAGAAAACTGGCCATTTAAGGAAAAGTCGGATGCGGTCCAAGAACGTGGTCGCTTGTTGATCCCTGAGGCTGAGGGACAGCGTAGTACCGATGGTGAAGCGTCATGTTTACATTGTTAGAATCCGTGAATCAAGTTTTTATGATTTTAACATTACTCATGCGAATGCGATGTTTGTTTATGCATGGAAATTCGAGCTGTCAATGTCAATTATTGTGATTCGTTTCATGACAGCTAACCTACTTGTTTACAAACAAACGATTTACAAGAATTCCATCTTGTCAGAAATAGGCAACATTATTTTTAAACTGATGCTATGTAACAACCTGAACATTTACGAATTTCATAGAACCGGGTAGAATGTAACCGAACGGTGACATTCACTGAAGGCCATTCGCACCTGTCACTCACTAAATTCAACATTCCCGACCGGTAGCGGAGCAAACATCCTGTCAATAAGTCAAGCACGCTTGCTGCCTGCGATGATGCCTGGACTGTTCTTGATCGTCTTCCAAGAAGAAAGTGGACTCGCGCCACGCCGTCGTTGTGCGGGTGTTTCGAAAGAACACGCTTGTCATTGTGTCTTGTCGTGCTCTCTAGGTGAGTGACAAAATGCGGACACAGCTGACCAGAGAAAATCGAATCTTTCGAAGCTCGAGCGAGCAAGCGATTACGAAACGGACATTTTTCCTCGAAATATATAGAACCAAATGCTCCCACACATCTTTTTTTGAATGTCGTCTTCGAAGAAAACGGCCGAATTTTCAATGCTTTTACTTTCGCTTGCAGTCCGTCTGAGAATTGCATAAACTTCACAAACGTATGCATAGATATTTAGCCGGACATAAACGATTCTTGTTATGATCTCACCCATCGTTGAGGATCACCAGGTCCTCTGTGAGTCTGAACAAAAGCAAAATATTTGGCAAGCGATCAAGCGTCGCGGAGCTATGCAAAAAAGTAGGCACCTACCTACCTACGCTGCTACTTGAAATGCTAGAAAATAGAGGTTGATAAATAGTGGACTAGGCGCGTTCATTGAGGCGCGCAGGTGAAAGGCATACGCGCACTTATAAGAGCAGCAGTGAGCTTAGCTATGCAAATAAATGCATCGCCCGGTTGAAAATTCATCCCCCAGATTCGAGACGAAGAGCGGAAACAAACATCTTTAATGGTGCGATCAGGCGGAACTGATTTAAACTCGAATTGGACATCACTGACTGGGGTGGCGCTCGAGAATTAGGTGCTGCAGTAATGAAAATCAGTCTCGCTATTAGGCATAATTGGCTTGTCGTACATAAAGTAGAATGTGTTAGGTTTTTAATCAGTTTCATTACAATATTTCTATTCGGTTTTTCCATGCCTTAAGAATTAGAAAGTGATTCGGTTTGACAGTTCATTGAATGGACATTTTCGTATATTGACTATGTCGTGATGATATAGGGTGTCCCAGAAAGTATAAGCACACTTCCCGGGTAGAAACTCTACTATTGATATCTACATTTGAGTGGATTTGCCTGACATAAGAGGTTAAATATACAGTGCCTTCCCGTTATTTGGCAATACGACCTCATCCAATTTTTTAACCAGTAACGCTGGTAGATCACCTTTTTGCGGTGCGTTACTGGTATAAGATCTATCACCGAACCCTAGTCCTGACAACTTCTTACAAGGGGAACAGGATTTTTCAGTTATCAAAAGAAGACATTTTAGTCCTTGTCACATTGTATGCCTTGTTAATAGTGACAAGCAGTGGTGGCCAAGGCACACTGTGCCGAAACAAAGCGTGGCACACTATTCGGCACTTTAGAGCACACGTTGACAAGTATAATTATTACATTTACTCTCTCGTATAGAGTTTTTAGAGTATTATGTTTTACATAATTTCCAAGTATCTGAATTTCGCCTGATTGAAAAGGCACTCAAACTCCCTGTGCTTTGGTCAGATAGCGTATAGGGCGTCGTTGTGCCAATTTGGTCGTGGCACATTTCGAGTATGAGAGAGGGATTGCAATTTGCTCAAAAGTGCCTGAGTAAAATGCAAGTACTTTCGATGATAACCCGTAGTTGTTACAGTGAAGATATACACCCATATTCTCGTTTATTATTTTTTTTTTTCCTTTGGTTTGTTTTTTCCGTCGATCTTGTTTTCCGTGCTACCGACGTGCCAGGAAGGCAGCTCCCACACCTGGACCCTACCTATCGACCCATCAACTTATGAACCGGGGACCAACGGCTTTACTTCCCATCCGAAGGAAGGCGTGATCAGAGATGTTGTGCCTCAGAACATCCCGGCGGCGCCGACTGGAATTGAACCCAGGCCTGCTGGGGTGAATATTCTCGTTTATGTCTGGACATGTTTGTCATACAGAAACATTTTTATTTGATTTTGTGTGGTGGATGGGTTGAGCTTTGGTTGGTTGGTTGGTTGGTTGTCTTTATAAAGGAGATTTTCAGCCAGACATTTTGAGCTTTATGTCTATGCATTCTTAGGTGTTTCTTAGAAGATTATAATGTTGGTGTACGCTGATTCAAAAAGTAAATGGTATTAACATTGAGCTGTCCATAGTTGAACGTTGTTGAACTTGTGGTACTTGCACAACATTTCATGTGAGTTGTATCAAGTTTGTCAGTGCAGAAAGGTCTACTCGTCGATCCAAGCATATCGAAACAAGGCAATACTACGTAAAGCAGCTGTTCGAAGATAAGGTGCTGGATCTAGAGTACTGTTCAACGGAAAATATGGTGGCTGATATTTTGATTAAGCCATTGGGTACCATCAAGCATCACAAGCTGGCTGGAATGCTAGGTCTATCATCGTGAGCAGAACATGAGAAGGAGTGTTAAAGGTGCAACGATCGTCCTAATAACGTACCAGTGTAATATGTGTACCAGTCTATAGCTGTCTTCCAGCCACTGAGTGAGATGCGCCATTTTATTCATCTCAAGAAAGTGTACTCGTTGTAAGCACATCGTTAAAGAGAATAAATCGAATCTAATTTACTGTTTTACATAAAACTCTTGGTCTTTCATTTCACTAGAACCTCATCCCGAGTTAGGGGGCTCCCTTACTACCTAGAGTTGGCTGGGATCGATTCCCGGTCCGGTCTAGGAATTTTTCAGGTTGGAAAATCTCCTGATTTCCCTGGGCAATAGAGTATGATTGTATATGCCACACATTTATATTAATCCAAAAATGGTACATGCATCGGAAGCTCTCAATTAATAACTGTGGAAATGCATCTAGGACACTAAGTAGAGAGCACGAAATAAGCTAATATGCTATAAGCAATAGGCTTGAAACTATTAGACGAAGAAGAAGAATAATAATAAGAAAAAAGAGAAGAGTAAGAAGCAGTTTATGTTGCAAAAACTGTTAAAGCACCTGTTCGTGCAAGCGACATTTACCGCCTTGACCCTAAGTAGATTATATCAACGTTAATAATCGGTAGATACCACCACTTGTTCTTACTGTTTCTTTGTAATGTGCTGTCACTGATATACGAATACAATTAATATAACACAGTATCATCTGCCTCTGCCATGGCAGGACGGTCGAAATCGTCTTTTATTCATCAAATCACAACGTAGGAACGGATCCTGACCGTGCGCGATCAGCGCCAAATACCCCACAATATGGATATTTTCGGAACGGGACGACGAATTAGAAATAATTTATAGACCGAATTTTGCCATCCAATATGGTGACTTGGGGTTTGTGAAAAAGTGTCAAATACTCAACAATATTGGTATTTTCGGGACTATGCCAACATCAGGGCATGTGATATAATAAAGGGTGATACGGTCAAAATTTGGTCAAGGGAAAACGCGTGTAAATCGGTGAAATCGTTTATTTAAAAAATCAAATTAAATTTCTTTTTCAAGTACAATTAGTATAAAATTCAGGAAAAA